GGGGGGAAACAACTGAAAATGTTCATAGCATTGGGTTGAGCTGCCCAGCATTTCTGTGTAATTAAAAGGAAATGTCTGGGTGCCTGAGTGAGTTGATGGCACCATGTCTGTGCTGAGCTCCTGGAGGGATGTGGCTTTGTTAACACAACGGTGGTCTCTCTGTGAGTGCAGTGGGAAGGACTGGGGGAGAACCTCTCCCCTCCACCCTGTATTGCTTCAGGGCAGGAACTGGAGTCTCCCTCTGTTTACCCAGCAGAGCGGCATGACCACAAGGCCGAATCCTGCTTGGGCCTTTCCCATCTGGTCGATTGTGACTGGTAGGCAGGGGAGCAAACCCCCAGTGTGTGCTTCCACAATGATACTCTGGTCCAGTTTACAGGGACTCGCATCCAGCCAAGCATCCCACGGCTTCAGAGAGGGCTATCTACCTCTTCCTCAATGGCACCTAAGTGCCCTTGCAAATCTGGTCCTTTCATTCCCCACTCCCTTTCCCGATAAGGAAAAAGGCTTGGAAAGGAGCCGTTTGTTCACTCCAGGAGCCGTTTGTTCACTCCCCTCAAGTTCTCAAACATGATCACCTTCAGACTGCTCTGAATTAAACTATGGCACAAACTTAGAGCTAAGTCCTGCAGCACAAAAGCCCTGGGCCAAACTCCAGCTCTCCGACTGCATCCCTGCTGATATCTCACTGTAGTTTTGGCCCTACCTTGGCAAGACCATAGAGGGGGGCCCCTTCCTTCACCAACTGCTGGCTCTCTACTCCTTTTTTCCAGATGTTTTCCCTCTCCCACTGTTTGCCCACTTCCCACTCCTGTCCTGTACCATGGTCTCCCTCCCAGTAATCTCTCCCCTCCTGCTGTTTTCGCTTTCCCCACTCCTCTCTTGTTCTCCCTTTGCCACTCAGTCTCGTTCTGCCGCGGTTCACATCCTCCCCTCTGTCCTCTCTCCTGCTTCCCTGCTCCCCTCCCCTGCCCTTGTGCGCTGTGATATATATTTTTGTAGGATTTCTCTTCTCCTTGTGGTGAAATATTCAATTCTCGTGGGATGTTAGTTTCAACATTTTTAAATAAACCTTTGCAAAATACTGAAAGCAGAGCTCTTGCTACTGTGGAAGAGACCGTAATGTCAAAGTGGGATGAGAAGGACTTCAGATCCCAGTGGGACAGAGGCTCAGACATCTGTCACCCCACAGTCTCTTCTAGGGGGGTAGACAGGGCAATTTGGCCCTGCATCCATCTCACCTTGGTCTCCTTGCTGTCCAAAAAGGCCCTCTGACCCTCCTCATGCGTTACCACAGGAGGTGGTCCCTTATGGCAGAGGCCTTGCACACTCACTCCTCCACCCAGAGTGGCTGTTCTGCCTCTGGAGCTGCTGCCTCCCAGCCACGCTTTGGGGCTGCTTGTCACATGCCAGTTCGTGCAGGGAGCCGGGGTGGCCAGGAGAGGTGAGAGAAGCTGAAGGAAAGGGAGGGAGACTGAGAGATGCAGGCACAGAAGCCTCCCTCACTCTGTTCCCCGCGGCTGCCTCCGCAATTTCTATTTACAGCCCTGCTGCCTCCCCTCCTGGCCACAGTGCCGCTGCCGTTGCTGGTTTCCAGGGCTGCTCTGTAATTAAGCATCCTTGTCTCCTGCAACTCCCCCACTTCGCATGCCCTAGCAGCAATCGGTGCTGGAGTGGGCACGGAGGGGGTGCTGGAGACCAGCACCAGGCACAGTAGCCACTCCGAAGAGCCACTCCCCAGCAACGGTGGGAGGATTGCTGGGTGCTGGGGATGGTCCTCGGCCCCTGCTCCCTCTGCCCGCTCGCTGCCTGAGTCCTTTGGGCTCTGAAGGTCTCCCTGATCCGTTGCTTTACTGTTGGAGGAAG